ATGACAGGGCTTGAAATAATAATGTATTGGAGCATATGTTTAATTAATTACAATCTCAAAACAATCACTTAACCTTATTCTGAGTAACTCCAACCCCACTTGATAACTTGGCCCAAAAAGTAAACAGATGTCGAAAATCCATACAACTCTCAGTGCTGACCACAGGAATTATCTGGAGTTAAGAAATTTATATATAAAAATAAAATAAAACAAGCTAATTCCTCACAAGTTTGAAGCGCAGCAGTTAAGAGAACTGTTAGTGAAAGAAAACAGTGGAAAGAAAATCAACAGTGCCATAAATTAGTTTCTAGACAATTTGACATGACCCTACTGGGATTAAAAATCTGGATTTTCATTAAAGTTGTTCACTGAAATCATAAATGTTCAAATTCTTTTCTCAACACAGATGGGCATAAAAAACTTTATTAAGCAAATTTCAAAGGGAACAGAATCATGTTCAGAGAAAGAGTCATTTAAATACACACAGAAATGTAGGTCCTGAAAGAATAACAGTGCAATAAACTATTAAGTTTTCCTTCTGTTTCTAAACAGCCTTGTAATTGCAACACATCTTCAACATTTCAAGAAGCATGACATTTTGACAGATTAAGAAGATATGTTGTATTGGAGAGAAGAATGAAAAATGGAGAAAACACCAGGAAACCTGAAGTGTTATGTCATAGAAGAAAATCCCTATGGAAAATTCAAGCTTTAAACACATACAGTACAGATGCAACATGGCTCTGGCATCTTATTTATCCCTCTGAACTATTTAAAAAAAATTATCCTCATTTATGAAAAATGATCCAAAAAGGAGTTGACATGAAAAGCCCTCAACTCAGTTCTCTCTCTAGCTCTCCAAGGAACAATTTATCTCCTAGTACACTGCAGGGGAAATAGAATCACATATTTCCCCATGCACAGTGCCTATGGCAAATCTACTGCTCCAGCTTAAAGTAGTTTCTTCTATCTTAATATACACATATGCCCTGTGATGTAAACTTGGGGTTTTTTTGTCTCTCCAGCTGCTTCAGGATGCTACACAACAAATTCTTGTTTTCATAACCAATTACCATTGCTCTGTGTAATTCAGCGCTATCTAGTGTTGGATGCTTTCTAAATTAATTTGGTCCAAGGAGGATATAAATTCTGTTCATAGCTTAAAAAGAGGACTACAGTTTGTGCAGGTGAAATGTCACATACATTCTTAGAACTAATACTCTTCTCCTGGATTATATTTCAAGAAACACTGCAGCTACCAAAACTGAAATGTTTGCTTTAAAACCCAAAGAGGACTAGATATAAAGCATTTGTCCCAAATCTGAAGTTAATGTTTTACTCATTCAAATTTTAAACAAAAACATCTTCAAAAGGCTTCAAAAGCATTAAAAATGAATACACCTCCAAAGGAATCCGTAAGGGAAAAAAAAATTATTTTATAACCAAAAGGTAACACTCACTAGCAAAAGTCATTGGGTGGAAAGCGGCCTTTTGTTCATTCTTTGCTTCATAGTAGGTGTTAAACTGCATCAGCAGCAGTGTCAGAGCACAGTTATGCATCAGCCCAGAGAAGCTCCACATCTGACGCCTGGCAGAGAGCCCCTGGCAGGATTGCAGGCCCTGCTCCCAAAGGCAGGACATGCACATCATGGATGCTCCAGCACTGGTCCAGCTCTGCTCTCCAGGAGAGAACACAGGAATGAGTCATGACACTACGATGGAAGCCTCCAAAAGCGGTCGCTCTCATAACACAGCTCATAAATCCCCTCTTCGTCCCCATCAGCGACAGACACAGTTATGCTCTTGAAGTATTAAGATGCCCCATAAAAGATAGATTCAACTAAGGGGCTGGAAATGAGTCAAGACTAACTTGTAAAACACAAAGTCTCCAGCTCGTCAGTTTTATCAGCGCTATTCCTACAGAACTAAGTAAGAACGATGACAGGAGGGCTGGAGCACCTCTCCTATGGAGACAGGCTGAGAGACCTGGGGTTGTTCAGCCTGGAGAGGAGAAGGCTGTGGGGATACCTTTGAGCATGTAAAGGGGCTACACAGAGCTGGAGAGGGACTTTTTACAAGGACATGGAGTGACAGGAACCTTCATCATGGATCTGGTATCATAGGTACTACGGAAGAAACAAGTGGGTTCTTCTTACTTCCCTTCTGAATCTCCTAAAAACTAACACAAAGAGTCACATTGCCATGCTTCCCTCACCTTTTACACACTTTTTTGCTCACTGATGGCAAGTTGGGGCTTGCCTCCTGCTTGGGAGTGTTCCAGAGAGGTACCCAATGAGAACCAAAAACGGTACAGGCAGATCCTACAGAGAAAACCACAACATTGCTTGACCCAGTTTGGTCATTTTCCAAGCACAGTCAACTGAGTGGCTGGAGAGAGAATTATTTTGACACATGCCTGTACATGCATATTTAGAAGACCATAGCGAGGCACGAGGCTGGAAAATGTACATATATGAAATCACGAGAGTTACAATTTTGCATTAAGGCTGATGATCCTTCCCATACTGGCCCTATGGCACATCTCAAAGTGATTCCCATTCCTTTCTCCTAAAGATCTGCGAGAAAAAAAACATCTTTGTGTTTCAGCTCTATCAGAGGATCCAAATCAACTTCCCAGGTCTCTTAGGAGTTATCTTCCCCTCAATATGGCCACCACAGGGAACCCAAATTTAGCTATGGGATGATGCCACCTCTAGACAGAGTGTAGAGGGGGGAAGGTGATGCACTGCAAGAAGATGCTCTTCTTCAAAAGGAGCCCCTGAAGCTCCTTCCACCTGTCTGAGTTTAAGGGGCTGCTCAATGTTTTCAACATGAACATGTCTCTGTCTGTAGGTCTAGATGGCATCAATAAATACTCTTACACACTTATTTAAGATCACTGTGTCAATACAAGCAACAGCCTACTAACAGTTTGTATGTGCAAGGGCTGCAGAACATGAAATGCTAAGGCAAATGCTTGTTTTCATTACTTTTTGCATAGCTGTTGGCACATAAATTACCACTTCATAATAGGCTCTTTGAAATTCTTTTGCATTAACTAATGCCACTCTACGTATTTTTACAGTGTGATCATGGCTATCACTTTCCATCTGTTCTACTGTCCTTTTGGTATGTTTTTGCTCTGAGGAAGTAAACAAAAATAGATCACTATAAAAACAAACCTGCCTGACAGTCTAGACTGAGGGTCTAATTAAAAATAAGATTTATTAGAATAGAGAGAAACATCACAGTAAAACAAAGACACAGTTTCTATAACATATCTGGTATTATTCTTGGCAAAGCAAAGCCAGGCTATAAATTTACTGAAACAAATCAGTACAGTACTGATGCACCATTCTGATCTGGCATCACTTTTCCAGACTGCAGGAATGTGTTAGGAAAACTCTTTGTTTTACTTATATTTTAGATTTTAGTCACCATAAATTCCTTTTCTAATTAGAACCCGAGAGCATTAGGGCTTGTCTACGCACAGGTTTTGCACAGACACAATTACAGAGGGGTAAGAAACCCAACTGAGTTAACAGTAATGCTACTCCCTAGTCTAGACACAGTTAAAACAAACTGTACCAGCAGAACTATGTCACGCTGAGGGCTTGATATAAATTGAACAGGCACCTTGCTACTGGAGAGGTGGGAAGTGGCCCTTACAGTAGAGAGACAAAATCCAGTCTCTGAAAAGACACCCATGAGACCATGGAAACATCTGGAGCCTCCTTCTGCCAGCCAAAAGGGTGAGAGCATCCTCTGATGAGATGCAGTCTCAGAGTGCAAGATACGCACAGGAAACAGGACAAGACAATAGCAAAGATTTCAGACGCCAATGACAACGCAGTCTTGCCCCAGTAAAGCTACTGGTGAGAACTGGAGACACCCAGAGGGTGAGTAGCCTTTGGTGATCAACTTCTGGAGCTCTTCTAGATGAACAGCCACCGATTGCTTCACCTAACACTAATCCACAGAAAGAAACCTGCACTCCAGCAGCTCTGGGAGTATCATTTTACATGGAAAAGGACTCACTTATTAACATCAACAGAACCCAAGAATCATTTAGAGATTTGTATGAGGAATTTAACACTTAAATAAAATAAGCACATGAAAATTTTGCTCTGCTTTTTTGGCTATTATTTCTAGTGCTTGCATTGGAGACGCATGAAAAATAATATTTTCCGTAATAAAGAATGTTGTTTTTAAAAGTCTAGTGATTTTTAACATAAAAATTATGAAGTGACCTCACACACAAAAATGCCCAGAGGCTGCTAAAATAGCAAAGAAATGAGAAATTCTAGATATTAAGAACACGTAGCAAGGCAGAATCATTAAAGAAATTAGAGAGGATGAAAAGAGAGACAAATTTAAACCGAAACACACAAATTAGTTTTGAATAATTTTCCACATAAGGCACATTCAACTCCCCCTCTAGTTCAAGGAAAGCTTAGGGATCCTCTTTCAGATCACGCAAGTGACAGCAGTAACTTATATAATAAATCAGCTGGAGGAAAAAAAAAAAAAACTGGTTTTGGAGCTGGGACAAGGCAGCAGATTTTCATTGTTTACTCCAGCATTTCATAAGCAGTTTCCTTTGTCAAGCAACAATTGATGTGCCGTGTATCGTTAAAGAATAAACCGATTTATAAATAGCATGAATAGAGGGAGTACCCCATTGTTCCTCTTTGTACTGGTAAGTGATAAGACTTCTCTGAAGTGGGTTTCAAATTCCCTTTACTAAATTTAAAGCCTTCCGCTAGCCAGCTTGGTAAGAAAAGTAGCACCTTCAGTGTTTCGCCCCCACCAGTCCACCCTTTTTCCTCTCTCAAACGGATGTTGAGTCTAACACCATATCCCTGAAGACATACCCAACCCAAGCATCACAAGGGATGCATCGTGCTTCCGTGGCTCAGGCTGCCTCTCCTGCAATGTTTTCTCTCGTTCCTCCTTAGCAGCGTATTCCCCTTCTTAGTCCAGGTTTCTGGAGCCCTGCACTAGAAAGGTTTGAGCACCTCCACCTCACTCCCAGGGCCAGCAAGGACCTGCAGGATGCAGGAGGAACACAGAGCTAGCTCGGCCACAGGTTGCAGGCCAGGCTGAGACAAAAGCTTCTACATGAACTACTTATACACCATGCAATCGTGGCTTTATGGCCATGGCTGCTGTTCACACTGAGTCAAGGCAAAATGTCCTATGATTGTCTTTGCAGGAGGACGGAGCTATTCACTCTGCCTGTCTTCCCATTAATTAAGCCAGCAGTAAACATAATCTAAAAACCCCCCATCTTGCCTGAATAAACACTGAACACTTCCCCAACTTGGAAGTCCAAGCTTCCCAATAGTGTCAGTCATGAAGCACTCAGGAGATGCAGCTACAAACCTACAAATGCAAAAGAAAACTCAGTGTCTCACATTTCCCTGTCTGAGAATGAGGACAATCCCCCCTCTTTTGAGAGGATATTAACATTTACAGGTAAGAAGCAAGGATCACTGAGCTGCCTCTGCAAGCGTTTCAATTTTCAAATCAATACCACCACTAAATCTTTCATTTAAAGGTTATACATTTCATTCATTTACACTTTTCTCCTCTCTTCCTTGGAAAGTAAGAACCTGCTTAAAGTATATGAAAGATGTTTAACTGAACAAGTAGCTCACCTCCCAAACTGTTACCTCTCACTTGGCATATATATGTCACTATATATGAGACATTTAAAGATATATAGATATACAGGGAACAAACCCATGGCTTTCAAGGGTTTATCCACTGAAGGGTTAAACATGCAAAGTAGAGATCCCGTCTAATTCCATTTAATCCCTGGTAACACAGTACAGAAGATGAGGTATTGTCCCTGGGTTCCTATTATTGCTGCTAGACACAAAACAGGGTACGACATACGACCACCCAAAATATCCCACAGTGTAGGATCATTGTTTTGGGAGGCAGGCCTGAGTAAAGTCATGTGGTGCACAAGTGATGCCAATATGCATTAGTCATTCTATATTAAATATAAAATCATGGTGGTGAAACCCTCAGCTCTGCCTGAAGAGAATAAAAGAGAATTTATGTTAGAGAGTCAAGAAGAAAGGAGTTTAAGCAACTGCTGAGGGGTTTTTTCCTAGCAAAAATACATAGGAAAGTATAAAATGGTAAACATTTTTAATCTGAAGTCAACAGTGCAAGACCTAATAATTAACATAAGAGGGGGAAAAGCTAAGACTGATCACAAAACATATTCACACAATAGATGTGGTTTGTCACTGTAGATTACACAGAAATTGGATGAAAGTCCAAAATAAAATTTAAAAAAGCTTTCCAATTCAATAATTACATCCAAAATTATACCATTTAGCTGCAAAATACAGTGGAAGAAGCATTTGGGTTTTCTTTACAAATCTCAGATATTTGATAGCCAAAAAAAGCTTACCTTACTACTTGCACTTTTGTGACACACCCCTCCACACATGCTTGTCTCTCCATGTAGTAATAACAAGCACACAAACATACACAAGACAAAAGTGACTGCTAAAATAAATAAGCCACAAATTGTAAATAAACTTCTTCATTTTCTAAACTTTCTTTGCTGTTGCTTTGCTGAAAGCCCTCCAGTTTCAAGGTGTGTCAGCTGCTTTGGGTTCAGCAAGGGATTCTCAAAGTCCTGCCCTTGCAAAGCTCTGTCCTTGGACCCTCAGTTCAGAAAGCACTTACATACAGTCCTGGGAGCTGTGCAGTCAGTGGATCTATAGCCTGATCCTCTAGGACAAACCCCAAGGAAGGATGAGAAATACTTGAAACAGACTTTCTTTTTCAGTTAGAACACTAAGTGGATCTTTTCAATGTATCTCATATTAATTAAAAAAAAAAAAATTAGTGTCAGAATTTAGGGACAAAAATAATCACACTGTTTCTCAAGGACAAGGATTAATTCAGTTCTGGAGCAAGTGGTTTCATGCAAGCCTGCTTTTCTTTTATGCTGCCTGCTGGCAAGACAAAGCCTAGCCACTGCTTCAAAGCTGTAAATATCTCTATTTCACACCAGGTATCCGTCACCCAAACCCATTCTTCAAGTCTACATTGGTTAAAAGACCTATTAACTTTCTAACTACTGCTGCTCTTCACCAGTCTCAGACAGCAGATTTAACGCTGGGTGGCTCTCTGTGTTTAGTGATTCACTCAAACGCCACAGTACAATTAAGATGATTTCTGGCATCAGGGCAGAGAGCGTGGCAGGCAGGGAAGGAGGATCATGTAGATTAAAGAAAATACACAATACTCATGCTTTTATGAAAAAAAAAAAAAAAAAAAAAAAAAAAAAAAAAAAAAAAAAAAAAAAAAAAAAAAAAAAAAAAACCAAAACAAACAAACAAGCAAAGAACCCAAAAAACCTAAACCAAAACCAACAAACAAAACCAAACAAAAAAATAAACAAAACTTATATCAAAGTTGCCTATGCATAGAGCTGTCAGCTATAGTGGTACCAGACCTATTAGGCTTTCTCTGCACACCTGGACTGATGCTTCACAACTTAATTCTCTTGGGGGAATATAAAAATCAGCCAGTCTTCATTTTGCCATGTATACATTAAAAAAAGTTGAAGCCACTATGGACAGAAAAACACTTCAGTTTTGTGGCTGTAGATATTCTACAGGTTCGTGCACATTCATTGGCCCTCATCAGTGTTCTGGTTATATCACTGGACAAACCATCACCTTAAAAACCAGGGCTAGAATAAAACACTAAACCTTCTGAATTACACATTTACTGCACAGAGACCTTGGCTTTAAGTGAGCTTTAAGGTGGGTTGCTCAATTTTGACTATTTTTTTATGAAAAAAGGTTGACAGTACATCAGACTCAATCCTCAAAACACTGCCATCCACAAGAAACATGGAAAAAAAGGCTTTGTTGCTTATTCAGCATCCACAGACAGTCAGCTTGCACAAAGAATGTCACTGCAGTAGCTCTTGTTCAAGTGTTGGACAGCAAAAGTCATTCCAGAGAAAACCAGTCAGTCAAGAGAAAGACCGCATATGGATATGTTTTTTAAAGTTGATCGTTGATTATAACTTGTAATACACTTCTAAAGAAGTACAGTAAGCTAATTACACTTGGGAGAAGACACATTTTAGAAGCTATAAAGATACCACCAGTAATAGGAAATCCTAGCTCCCAATTATGGCTCTCAACGCTCTCCACAGAATAAAACATTTGCTTTTGATTTCAGAAGTGGTTTGTATTTAACAATGTAAAATTTGTTTAAAGTTTCAATGGTTGTTCACTTCCCTGCTCAGCAAACACTCATATTAAATGCTTTTACAACATGCAAGATTATTGCAACCATAGAGCTGGGACTCCTATGAGTCCTTCCCAATCAAGAAAGTCTTTGCTCAGACTCAAAGCTGAAGGATTATGATCCAAATACCCACTGACAACGGCCTGACCCTCAAAACAACTGTCTGTCAAGACAAAAGATGACATAATAACAGGAAAAAAATTATAAAGGTCAAATCCTTGCTAGCTTGGGTAGAAAGACCTGCATAACAGGAATCTTGTCATAAAGGTAGAATTAATTATTTAAACCAGCAGCGCTCTGAGAACAGGTGATTTTTCAATACACTACTGCTCTTCAAAACATGATAACCAACAGCACATAGCACACACCCTAGGGTTGAGCTCTCTCACACATGCTAAGAAATCTTTGAGTTTGAACAGTGCTCAAACTCCCTACCTGATGATTACCTGGTAGACCATCAGTCACTGCCAGTACAGCAGAGAGAGGTTACATACCTACACAGATCACACTTAAACTGCAGTAAAAACGAAAAAAGCAGCTATGAAGAGGAAGAGCTACAGCTGCCAAGGAAGAAGAAGAAATATCACTTTGCTAAAAATCAAACAGAAAAAAAAAAAAACACAAATCACCACAACATCCTTGGTGGCTCAAAACTAAGGCATAATTCCCAGGGGTATAGCCGAGGGTAATGCCTGGGACCCATATGGCTATGCGGTATTGAGGTAGCACATTCAGCTGCCAAGGGAAATGTTTCAACCACTACATGCTACCAGCATCCTCTGCTGGCTGACCCACTCAGCAGTGCCAGCCCCAAATTTCCAGGAATGGCAAGTTAAATGGCTCATGGTGAAGCGCAGAAAGCGGTTCCAGGTGATGGTGCAACTCTAAACAAACACAAGACTCTCTTTCATACCAGGCTTCTCAGAATTCCCGAAGAAGACAGCAGGAATGGAGTAAACGATCAGCTCTGTGACTCAGTTACAAGGCAGAGCAAATAAAACATCTGTACTTCACAGATGACATTTCAAACCTGTTTTCTACCCTTTGCTTTTCAAGCTTGTCAGGTAGACAACATTTAAAGACCCTTCAGTCAAGGCAAATGGCTTTGTGATAAGGAAAGCTGCCAACTAAAATGTTATGCTTTTACCACCTGTCACATCCAGATACAGAAACAAGACCATTTTCACACTCACCAGTGAGTTAGGTAGAAAAGTAACCTAAATTGGAAGGGCATGAGGAGAGCCTATCATCTCAGGGTCTCAGCCAGGCAGGGATGGCAACAAGATCCATGACTGGAAACACCAGATGAGCTGTTCAGAAATCAATTCCCTACCAGCCAGTTCTCATGGCCAATACTGACATGATGACTGCAGTGAAAGAGATTCAGTCACAATTCTGGAATTACACAGGAGCAGAAAGACAGGGAAACAATTACTGAATAAGCCTTTACCTCTGCTCGTTGCGTGCGGGGCAAAACCGACGACTTTTCAATGGCATAAACATCCACCAAGTAGAGGCGCGCTCCTTGCTCCCTGTCCAAAATGGCAGCGGTCTGGATGACCCCAGTATGGCGCCCGATGGTGAAGAGGCGCCCAAGGCTCTTATCTTCGCATCGAACGGACACGATGTAATATTCCACCTGAGCTTCGGAGCCCCGCGGACTCGCCGCTTCGATAGATATCACATTTGTCCCGATGGGCTCGCCTTCTTTTAGGATGGTTATGTATTTTGGCTGAGTGAAAACAGGCCCGTCAACCCCCTGCAGAATTATAGTCATTTCAGTGGTAGATTTTCTCCTTTCAGGGCCAAGATCTGTGGCAGAAACTATGAGATTGTATATGAGCTGAGAAGGCACCAGAGCTGATGCTACTCTTAAGTCTCCACTGTAGCGATCCACAATGAAGGTCTCAGTATCTCCATTGACTATTTCATACTCCACTTCTCCATTGGCGCCCTCGTCAGGATCCGCAGCAATAATTGTTGTTAGGATGGAGCCGATCACAACCGAAGGGTCGGCTGCGAGCGCATTTTGTGACACGAACACGGGAACATTGTCATTTTGGTCCGTCACCAAAATGGTCACGTTCTTCAGAGCGAACCGCCTGGACTCCACGGGAACGGCCTGATCGGTGGCTTTGACTGTCAACTCAAAAAGATTAGCAAACTCTCGATCTATTTCAGCGTTGGTAAATATTGTCCCTCTCACTTCATCTATACGGAAGTGATTACCCCTTGGCATCTGCTGAATGATTGCATACGTCAGCTGCCCGTTAATATCTGCATCCGGATCATGGGCAGTCACAGAAATGACAGAGCTACCAACAGGAACATTCTCAACAATCGATTTAAAGATGTCTCCCGGAGGAAAATTGGGAGGATTATCATTGAAATCTCTAACATGTATCACCACAGACATGGTAGATGACCGCGGTGGTCTCCCTTGGTCTTTTGCTGTTATATTTAGCTTATACAGAGACTGGGTCTCAAAGTCCAGCTTCTTTGCAAGAAAAATACTACCGGTGTTGGGACTGATGCTAAAGGTCCCGTGGTTGTTCGTCCCTGTAATGCTATAGTGCAGGTCAGCATTGTCACCTGAATCAGAATCAGTGGCAGTGACAGATGACACAAGTTCACCAACCCTCATATTTTCCAAGACATCCACTAACAAGGTTGATTTAGGGAAGGAAGGACTGTTGTCATTTTCATCCAATACATCAATGCTCAACATGCAAGTTGAACTCAGGGACACCGCTCCAGAGTCTACTGCTTGGATGACAAGGGAATATGATGCAGTAGCCTCATGATCGAGTTTGCCTATTAAGGTCACTTGGCCTGTGCTACTATCTATTGCAAACTGATTTTCTTCATTTCCCTTGATTACAGAGTAGTGAATCAATCCATTAACCCCTTCATCAACATCTGAGGCAGAAACTCTTAGCACCTGTGTCAGATTTGCTGCCGATTCTGATATAGTAGCTTGGTAGAGATCTTTCAAAAATTTGGGGGCATTATCATTGATGTCTTTCATGTAGATCTGTACAGTTGCCTGATCCTTTAGAGGCTTTGGCAACCCCTGATCCGTTGCTATTACTGTGAGACTAAATACTGCAGCTCCCCTCTGTCTCATAAGAGCTTCTCTGTCAAACTGATGAGTGCTTCTGATTTCCCCAGTTACTGTGTTCAGCTCAAAATCTGGCTGCAAATGCTCAAAGGAATACCTGACCTCACCATTTGGCCCAAAGTCTTTATCTACAGCATTTATTTTACCTACATATGATCCACCTGTCTGCTCCTCTTCAAAATAAAACACGTAGTTGGTACTATTGAACAGGGGCCTGTTGTCATTTACATCCTCCAGAATCACAGTAACATTCACAGTAGCATTGAGTGGTTCTACTGCTCTATCAGAGGCAACAACCAGCAAAATATATCTTTCCTGAAGTTCACGGTCCAGTTCACTTTTTATATACAGCTGACCATCTGGGAATATGCCAAAGGCATCCCCAGCATTTCCTTCAATTATACTGTAAGCTATTTCACCGTTCACTCCCGAGTCTTTGTCAGAAGCCTGTACCTTAAAGAACCTGGAATTCACAGGCTCTGACTCCAAAATAGTAATTTCATAGGAAAGCTGGTCGAACACAGGCGGGTTATCATTTACATCATGGACAGAGACAGTCAGGATAAAGTTAGAGGACAGCTGCGGCACCCCCATATCCGAGGCCTGAATTTCAACCTGGTAAGACCCAGCATTTATGTCAAGTGGCCCCGTTAAGCTTATGGCACCGGTTTGTTCATTGATTGAAAACAAGCCCTTTGGGTTTTGCTTAAGGCTGTAAAGGACCACGCCGTTAACACCTTCATCAGGATCAAGAGCTTTGGCCTGGAATATGGTGTGCCCAGCTTTCCAGTTTTCAACCACATTTACACTTTCCACAGCATGAATAAAGTGTGGGGAATTGTCATTTAAATCTTTGACAGTTATATTGACCACAGCATCGCCAGTTACCGCCCCGCCACTAGCAACCACCTTCAGCTGGTAAAACGCTTGCTCCTCCCTGTCAATAATACTGGCTGTGGTGATCTGCCCCGTTGCTCTGTTGATGGCAAACATGCCCCTTTGGTCACCTGTCGTAATAAGGTAACTGATGTTAGTGTTGAGGTCCATGGTGGAAGCAAAAACAGTACCTACGTGGTAACCCAGGGCAACGTTTTCAAAGACAACAAAACTGTACGTGCCCTGGCTGAAAACAGGTGGGTTGTCCTGGGTGTCCAGGACAGTGATGGTGACAATGGCTTGGTTCTGCGACTGAAGATGGCCACCGTCAGTGGCCACAATCTGCAGCTGGTAAGCAGTTTTCTCCTCCCTGTCGAGGGCTATTTTTGTTGTGATGACCCCTGTCTGGCCATGGACCTGAAACCTGGAGGTATCTCCAGCTGAGATGCTGTACTTGACTGTCCCATTGGGCCCCAGATCAGGATCTGTGGCAGACACCGTGGTCACGTAGGTTCCAGCTGGTTCATTCTCTTGGATATGGGCAAAATACTGAACGGGGTAAAACACAGGGCTGTTGTCATTCACATCCAGGACGGTCACATTAACTCGGGCTACTGAGGAAAGGGGAGGAGAGCCTAAATCAGTGGCCAAGACCTGCAGGGAGAAGTAAGACTGCTCCTCACGGTCCAGCTGCGAGATGGTGCTGAGCTTGCCCGAAACAGGATCCAAGCGAAAAAACTGGCGAGGGGTTACAGAGGAGGGGCCAACCACTACCAGTGCTGGTTCAGCTTCCTGCAGGGAGAAGCGGACAGTCCCATTGTCCCCCAGGTCCCCATCAGCAGCACTCAGGACAAGCAGCTCAGTTCCTGATGGGGAGTTTTCAGCCAGGGACACTTGGTAGCCCTCGGGTTGACTGAAGCGAGGTTTGTTGTCATTGACATCCAGGATGGTCACCACAAGCTGTGCGTAGGAGAACTTGGGCTGCACCCCCTGGTCACGGGCACTGATGTTAAGCACCACCTGAGAAGCAGTCTCCCGGTCCAGCCTGCTGGAGATGGATGTGCCTGCAGCATGTCCGGCAGTGCCGCCCTCGGGGCCAGCCGTGGTGACCAGCCCACTGTGCTCGCTGATGCGAAACCAGCCGAGCTCATTGCCTGAGACGATGCTGTACTTGAGGTTGGCATTGAGGCCCGAGTCACGGTCCGTGGCACTCAGGCCCCGCACATAACTGCCCAGGGGCACCTCCTCACTGATGTTTACGCTGTAGACAGACTGCCCGAAGACAGGTGGGTGGTCATTAATGTCATTCACAAAGATCACCAGGCTGGCTACCGAGGAGCGGCTCACGGGAGCTGCCACGGCCCCGTCAGGAGAAAAGACAGAAGTGGGAGAGCCTGGAGGTGGCGGTGGGGCCCCGTAGTTATCTGCCACTGCCACGGTAAGGTTATAGGCCGGGATGCGTTCCCGGTCCAACGCGGCCGCTACCTTTATAAGGCTGAGGTTGGGTACCTTACTGCTGTGTACCTCAAAGTGCCGCTGCTCGTTTCCCGCCAGGATCGACACGGAGATGTTCCCGTTGGCTGCGGGGGAGTCGGCATCGCTCACCGTCAGCAGGGCCACCACGGTGCCAGGGGCTGCATTCTCATCCACAGAGGCAAACCGGGAGGTGGCCGGGAAGTAGCGGAACTTCACCCGGGGCTCGTTGTCGTTGACATCGAGCAGGCGGATGAGGGCCTCGGCCCGGCCGCTCAGCGCCGGCACCCCTCGGTCCATGGCCTGGACCGTCAGCGAGTACTCCTGTCGCACCTCATAGTCCAGGTGCTCACGGATACGGATCACCCCGCTCTCGGGGTCCACCTCAAACGGGAGGCCGCCAGCCCCATCCCCACCACCACTGCCACTGCCATCACCTCCTTCCAGGCGGTAGCGGATGTCCGCATTGGTGCCTTCATCGGCATCAGCTGCAGTGACCTGGAGAACGCTGGCCCCAACAGGCGCATCCTCAGGCACTCGTGCCTGGTAAAGCGTCTGGCTGAAGATGGGGGGGTTGTCATTGATGTCCTGGACGGTGACGTTGACCTGAAGGTACCCTCGCCGACGGGGCTCGCCCTTGTCCTCCACCTGCACCAACAGCTGGTAGGTGGGGGTGGCCTCCCGGTCCAGCCCTCCACGGGACACCAGGTGCAAGAAAGCTCCTTCACCGCTGGGGTTGAGGGTGATGTTGAGGCGGAAGCGGCCCTCCTCATTGCCGGCCACAATCCGATAGGAGCCGTGGTCTACACCGTTGGTGCCACTGTCAGCATCGGTGGCTGTGTCCAGGATAAGCTGGCGCCCGCTGCCCGTATCCTCCTTGAAAGTCACCACGATGGAGGGGTCGGGGAAGACGGGCGCGTTGTCGTTGAGGTCGAGCACCAGGACGCGCACCTCGCTGGGGTAGGTGGGCTGGCTGGAGAGCACCACCAGGTCCACCACGTCGCTGGCCAGGCTCTCGCGGTCGATGGTGGCGCGGGTGTGCAGGGCGCCCGAGGTGGCGTTGATAGCGAACAGGTCGTGGTGCTCGCTCAGGCGGTAGGTGAAGCCGGGCCGGGTGGCGATGGTGCCCACCCAGGTGCCGGGCGGCTGCTCCTCCAGCACCTGGAACACCTGGCGCGGCTCGGCGGCGGCGGCGCTCCCCAGCGGCGGCAGCAGCGGCAGGAGCAGCGACAGCAGCAGCGGCGGCGGAGCCCCGCGGGCGGCGGCGGCGGGGCGGCCCATGGCGACCCGGGGGCGCAGCGCCCCGAGCCGGGGGCCCGGCGCCGCCGCTCTTCCCGCCGCTCCCGCTCCCCTTCCCTTGCCGCCTCTCTGCTCACCCGCGGACGCTCCGCTCCGGGTGCGGACGGGAGCGGACCCGCCGCGCTCACGGGACGCTCCGGCTCTGCCTCTGCCTGTGCCTCCGCCGCTCCTCCCGCCGCCGCTCCGGGGCTGGGGGGCGGCCGGGGGCTCCGCGCCGCATCGCCGCTCAGCAGCCGCCGCCGCTACCGCCGGGGGCCCCGCGCCCCGCCGCTGCCCCGCGCTGGCCGCCGCCCCGCCGGCATTCCCGGACGCTCGGCGGCGGAGCGGGTCCCGAACGCGCGGCCGCCCGTACCCAACTTTGCCCGGCGCTCATGGATCCCGGCCCTCTTGACGCCCGGGGACGGCTCCCCCCACGGGCGCCCATTGGCCGCCGCGCCGCCAGCGACCCTCCCACCGCCCGCCCCCCCGCACCTGAGGGGCCGCCCCGGCGGGGACTGGGACGGGAGCGGAGGGAAGGGGGTTGCTCGCCCGGCAGCGCCGGGATGGAGGCGCGGGTCCGTTCCCCCCTCCTCGAAACCCTCCCGCCTGGAGCGGAGAGGGACCGGAGACCCCCGGGCGGGATGTCCCGCACACCGAGGGATGCGGCGGCGGAGGCGGCCGCGGCGCCGCCTCTCACTTTTACAGCAGTTCGTGAAGGAACTCCGTGGACCCGTTATCCCGGGGAGATGCTCCGGCCCCGCCGCTCCTCCCGCGGGCCCGGAGCGCCCTCTGCTGTCGTGCCGCTCCCGGCAGCGGTGAAGAATCACAGGGATGCGGGAGTGTCCCCAGGAAACTCTGTCCCCGACCGAGCGAAAGTCCCCACCATGCCCCGTCCCAAAAAGGCAGTGCGTGTAAATAACCGGGAAAGCCCCTAATCCTGTCTCCCTGCGGTGCCGCTGGAAGTAAAAGTTTTGATTTTTTTATGTGTTGACCTTTAATTACAAGAAGGGGTGTAAACGCAAACCTGCGGACGGCAATTAAGCTGACAGTGTAAATCCTGTGTGGCCATGTAGCAAATCAGCAAATGTAGAGTTTATTTATCCTTGTGAGGGAGTTAATGAACCCGGTAGTGGATTTTTCAGCGCGGAAAAGCCAGAAAAGTGAGAATAGAGGTGAAAAAAAAAAAAGGAGTAGAGGGTAGGAGTGTGTGAGGATAAGGTGTCAAAGGCAGATAGTTCCCCCTTAGTCCCCTGGATATGATGAAAAAAGGGGTATCAAATAAACATTAGCAGCACTCTTGACTGAAAGCAGTTAGTAAGGTAGAAGCAGTGGTTCCTGTCCCCAGATGGTATTATCATCTAACACGAAGAGATACTTCGGGACAATAGCTCCTGAAAAATCCCTGTTTCCTTTAGAGATGGAGTCTCACATCCACTACCAACCCCCGCCCCTGTGGATGCCACAGCCAGCTGCGTGGGCCAGTGAGGCTGGGGAGCCTGGTGTCCAGCACCCTTCCCTCCATGGGACCCTGCGCGAGTGCTCTTGTCACTGGGAATCTTTCCTTAGGGTCACAGTATTTAATTTTTTAGCACTTCTCAGTGTCTGCTCCCGACCCCGAGAAGGACTTTTGTCCTCCAAGTGCTCTGCTTTTCCAAGCTGCGCTAGTTCAGTAGGAGATAGCAAGTTATCTACACACAAAAATGCTAACGCCTCCTGCGCTCTTGCAAGGAGCTGGACAGTAAATCGATGCGACAGCTAAGAACAGATCGTCAGTCCCGTCTGCCTGCCTGGATCCGTAATGCTGTTAAGGTCTGCACCAGTTCTTTGATATTTAACTCCACCTACAGGCGGGCATCGACCCTTGCCTGCAAGCGAGCAATTCACTGCGTCTTCTCGAAAGCACGGAAAGGTGACTTCTCTACTTGTATTACAAAAATGCCCCGAGTTCATGGATTCAGCAAAAATACAACAGCACTACTATATTCACAAAGAAATATGGGTTGGAGGGGGAGGATTACCGACATAAGTTGATATCAACCCTCAGTAGAATATATCTTCAAGCATTCAGCACATTTGAATCACTGGAGTTTTTTCCTCACTACATGGAACTTTTCACATCTGCTAAATTTGATATCCAAATCATAAATACAGCACTGAGAACCATTCTGACACCCCCTGAATGGACTCTGAACCTTTCCCTAATGAATAGGTCAGAATGAACCACTAACCAACTATTTTATGTGTGGAACAGGAACAGTCTTGTTCTGACATTGTTCAAGCTTTTCTGTGCTCACAGTTCGTGCTTCCCTCTGCGTTCTTCTCTCAAATCTTAAAATTAGAAATGCTGCTACACAGGTATTGTTTAGCAGTTCAAGTATTTGCAATTCAAATATAGGAAAGCACAACACCAGCCTTTTAAGTGCTGTACATCTCAGGTAAGCAAAACAGCTAAAATTCTGGAGAAAAAAAAACAAAAAACAAAAAACAAAAAACAAAAAAAAAAAAAAAAAAAAAAAAAAAAAAAAAAAAAAAAAAAAAAAAAAAAAAAAAAAAAAAAAAAAAAAAAAAAAAAAAAAAAAAAA